GCGGCCATTCTGCTAAAGCTGGGATTACAAGCGTAAATCACCTCTCCCGGCTCTGACTCAGTGGTTTGGAATAAAAGGTTTCCTTGTCTTTGTTGAGGCTGGAGAGTTTTTACTGTATCAAGGGAATCCGGGGACCCCATAGCCTCTCCCTTAGGATGCTGACAGATTGCATTTGGGATACGCTTTGTCACCTACAACGCCTTTTTTTCCCATATGCAATTTAGCTGGTGTATCGCAGTTAACCCTGTTAAGTAATGTTGCTAAGGATACCCTTTGGTCACAGTGGCATAACTTTGGCGAGAAACACACACACCCGGGAGGGGAGACTAGTAGAGACAGGCGCGCTTTGCATGGACTTTTAAGATCCCAAACGAGGAATCATAGCACCAAGTGGTGGCGCTCAAGTACTCTGAGAAAGCATGACATAAGGGGTGGCGATCCACTGGCACTGGAGATCGTGGCCCCTTGAGTAAGGGTGGGGCACAGAGGCGAGAAGGTGGAACCACGCATGCTCATTGCAAGCAAAGGCGTCTGCGCGGGAATCAAAGTGCGCATGCGTAAATGAGAGCGCGCTGACCATTTGAGTTTAGCACCAGGGATGTAGAAGTGCGCTTGCGTGCCAATGGCTTAGCTGGGAGGGCGGGAGGCGCGCAACGTTCTGATAATTATGATTGCGAAATAGCGAGAGCTTCAGTAAATTGTCTTTCGTCCAAATCGCCATTTTAGGCTAGGAGGACCTGTAGAGAGGCAAATCTACTTTTCTAGTTGTTTGAAAGGGTCAGTCTGATTTAGAGGCTGCGGTCAAGCCCAGTGAAACTTATTCCAGAATCTTAAGTCTCTCCCTGGTCAATCTCAGAGAAGGAATTTTAAAATGTAGAGAAGATAGGCTGTGAAAGGTTGCTGTTGCAGTTTGTTAAGCTTACTTTACTGTCCACCCACATTCAGACAAAGCCTATTCGAAAGACTCCTGAATGATCCTGGCCGATCTTGGCTCTCAGACTTCCCCCACCGTATGTCTCTGCCTAAAACGCTTGGCTTTTTCTCCCCTGCAGAATATAGGCGAGAGGATTTGGTTGTTTCTCAATCCGTATTACATTGATTGAAACCTAAGATCTAGGCAAATGGTCTTCTTACTGACAAGCAGAGCACTAAAAGTAAAGGCAGTGGTAATATGAAAGGGTCCTGGGCTTATGCTCTTTCTCTCTTCTGTAGAACTTTCTGTATGGTTTGGTCTGAAGTAAAGTTGAGAAATTGGAGGTTGATTGTTTTAGTTTCGTTTGGTTGCTGAACTGTTGTGCCTTTGAGGATTGAAAGTGAAAAATCTACAGTTAATTGCTAAAGTTTAGCTTTTAGATTCTTATATCTAAGGGTACAGAATTTTAGAATGAGATATCTTTTCTATTAATCCTGCCAATGATCTTTGGCTGTTCCTATTTCATTCTTAGGGCCTGTTTATCTAATACGTACAGGTCTATAGTACTTATTAGCACAAGGTACTAGTCTAAAGGTTTTACATAATGCTTTAATATATTTCATAATCTCCACAATCCTACGGAATAGACATAGTATTACAGATGAGAACTTTGAGAAACACAGGTTAATTTGTCTAAGGTTTTTATAGCCAATTGAATTATGGAGCCTGGGTATTTATTTCTCCACGTTTTATTGTTTCATAATACTGTTCTCTTAAACATTCCTTATCCCTTATAAAGAAGGGACACATTTAAGGGAATTCAATTTTTGTCTGAAATCATAAACCTTAAACAAGCATTAAGAAAGGAAACAGTTTACTGCTTTTACCTCAGTGCATAGTAGTTGCTTACAAGAATGGGAGACAAAAAGTAAATTGTTGGTTTGGAAACTCTAGGAGTGGCTCTCCTTATATACAGTTGTCTTCTGTATTTTTTGTTCTTCAGAGTGCATAAAATGGCCGACTGCAGCAGGCTGGGCACACCCATGCTTTTGCTTGATTTATGATCTAGTCCCAGGCTTTAAGACAACCAGAGTTTGCTGCAGATATTTTTGAAAACCTTTTATTGATCTGTTGTTGTCTCAATGTCTATAATAGTAGAGATTGGCTTTTTTGTTGATATAAAAAAGTACAAGTTAAATTGGGTTTTAATTAGAATAGATCTACTTACATGGAATTATTATATTAAATATTATGAATATTTTAACACTTGATAATTGCCAAATTCTTCCCCAAAAGGTTGTGCCAGTTTTTACTCAGAAGTACTGCATTGTGGCTTTAGATAAACTGTAAAAATCAGCATCTTTTTTCCTTTTTAAAAATTGGTGGTTAAATTCTTTTGGTTAGTATAGATTTGATACCATGTGGTCAGATCTAATTTTTTCTTACATTCTTTACAAATAAATAGGTCTCCAAACAAGAAAATAAAAACCTTTTAGACAAAAAGTAGTAATATCACCCAGAGACACTGTTAACTACACTCTTCACTAGTTTTGCTTCTTTTTGTAATCATCTATACTGTTGATCATATGTACTTTTTTATATTATATTTTCTATTTAACATTATAATGTGAATATTTCCACATTTGTCATCCAATGGTTTCATGTGCAAGTATTTTATATTTTTTAGTAAATTATTTAATAAATGTTTTTAGTTTTTATTCATTTTGTTTCTACTTTTTTTAAAAATTTACTGTTCTGGGGAGGAGGCATTTGTGCCATGGTATGAGTGTGGTTAGGTGTCAACTTTGAAGTTGATGTCTTCTGTCATTATGTGAGTTCCAGGAATTGAATTCAGGTTGGTCACCAGGTTTGTGTGGCAGTCTGCCTGCTGAGCCATCTTGTTCTGTTTTGTTTTTTTTTTTTTTTTTTTTTTTTTTTTTTTAAATTCCAGAATTAGAATCATTCATTAAAATTTGAATAAATATTGATTGTAATTGATTTCTAAAAATTTATGTCATTCTTTGCACCTAGTCTTTTAGGTACTGAATTTTTCTTTCATTTTTTTTGTTCACTTAATATGTAAAAGAATGATACATAAAATTACTTTGAAAATGTGTATTTTATTTAGAGACTAACTCTTACATATAACAGGCTGGCATCAAAATTGATAATGTTGAGGGTGATATAAACTGATCCCTATGCCTCCCTCCTTTATTACCAACATATTTGGCTATTCCAGTTCTTGTTTCAAAATAAAATAATGAACTCAAAGATAGTGGGTCCCCAAACTGGGGTCTCAGTGTACCTGCCAATAATATACTGTCTGTCATTTGTTGAGTTTTCTGGTGAAAGCCTAGCTCAGTGGCTAAAGGTGCTTGTCACCAAGCCTGACTGACTACTTTGAGTTGAAGCCCAGACCCACATGGTAGGATGAGAGAGCCAACTCTGGATCTACACACACACACACGCACGAATGCACGCACATTCCAGTGACAACAATAATAAAAAATACTAGGCCATATTAAAAAAATGGTGTGGGAGGGTGGGAATGTAGCTCGTAGGTAGTCTACTTGCCTAGTATGAGCAAATTTGTGAATTCAACCCCCAGCACAGCATAAAATCTGGTGTGGTGTGCATGTTTGTAATCCTATCACTCAAGGAATAAACAGAAGGATTAAGAGTTCAAGGCAATCCTCAGTTATATGCTTCATTTGAGGCCAACTTGGACAGTATGAGCCCCATTCTTAAAAAATAATGTTGAAACCAAGTTTGGTGATACATGCCTATAATCCCAGCATTTGGGAGAATGAGGCAGGAGGATTGCTGTGAGTTGACTGCATAGCAAAACCTTGTCTCATAAAACAACAAAAATCCATTATGGGACACAGAACAATTCCATGTTGTCTTTGTAAAACCATCTGAACCAAGAAATTTTTTCTTTTTGGTTTGTTTCAGTATAACAAATTTTGCTACATCATAAGATTTGTTGTTCCAGACAAGTCATACAAAATCATCACCAGATTTTTTTTTTTTTTTTTTTAAGTAGGGAGGACTCTACACTTGTTAGTAAGGGCTGTGGCGTTTATATTCTGGTTTGGGTTGAGTCACTTTGCTTATCTACATTGTCTAAATACTTAGACCTGGCTAGAAGAATATTGTAAACATGCAACTAGAGCACCATAAAGAAGGGCAGGAGTACCACTTCCCTCATTACAAAAATCCCACAGCAGAAACCCCATCATCCCTGAAGTTAATCCTGACAACTAACTTTATTGACAATGTTTTATTTTTAAGCCACAATAGGGGAAATTAATAAAAGCGGAGAGCCACTGCCTTAAAAGTTGTACAAATGTCTAAATGACACTACATCTTTTGCTGATGGATCCTCTGGATTTGAAGCATTTTTTTAAAAGTCTTGCAGAACTGTGGGTGTGCAGTACCGGGCACCGCT